AAATTGATATCATACTTGATATGAAGGAGCAGTGGGGAAAACAGCTCTGTCTGTCAGTGATGTAATATCATTTTCCTGTGTATTACAAAGGAAGCATTACTGAAATCTGTTTTTTGTAGAAGCTTATTGAGAATATTTTGACAGAAAAATTGCAGATTTGGATTTATGTGTGAATGGTTCACGTCGAAAATGCTGATTCATTACTAATGGCTTTGTTTTACTGTTTCATTTGAAGGTATGGTAAGAATTTAGGTACTTTATAGGAGATATTCTTCTGACAAAAGCTGTTGGTAAGAGGATTGTACTACTACATGACTCAGATGAGCGGAGCTGGGGTGGGGGGTGAGGAGTAGGTGAGATATCCCTCAGGTTTCAGCAAGCATAATGTGGGAGAATTGCAGTAAAGCATATATTTTCTTCTCTCTTCTGGTCTCCTCTCTCAAGAGAATGCTACACAAATAATCATCTCAACCATTTGTAGCAGCTTTGTACCCGTTTGGTTGTAAACTGATTTTATTTCTTTTTTTTTTTAAACTTGTATTAATGTGCCAAGGCCACAGAATCCCTGTGTGACTCATGCAACATTACTTGCTATAATTTCTTTGAAATCAATTGAATTGTCTGCATTACTTCAATATATAACTTTTGAAATTGTTTTAAAACATGGACAGGAAAGTAGTCTAGTGAATGCATTTATTTTTTTTCTTGGAAACCAAAGGTGCTTGCAATGTACATTATTCTTGTTACCAGTCCTCATAGAGGAAAGTTCAGCGTGGTTTTGTGTGTGTGTGTTGGGGTTTTTTTTGTGGTTTCAAATTTTTTTTTAATTTTTATTTTTTTTAATTTCCTCAAAAATATAAACATCTCTTTAGGATGCTTAAGATTTTGGTGGATAAAACCAAAAATTAAGCTGCCAGCTGGAGCATAGTTGCCTCCTCCTAAATCTTCCAGGTTCATTTTCCAGGGTAGTGTTATCTGAATTTTATGTTAAAGAAATAATTTGTCTTATTGGTGTCAGTGCAAGATGTCAGTTGTCAGCTGGTGGCTTGGCATGGACTTCTTTGAGAGCTTTGTGGAGCTTGGCTGCTTCTCACCCATTTATTTATTTGCTCCTTCATCCTAAGCAAAAGAGCATAATTCTGAAATGTTTGTTTATGGGAAAGACAAAGGGAAAATTGTTGGTTGTGGCAGCAGCATTTCTGTGCCAGGTTATTCCCCGTGCCCCTTTGCTTTTTAAAGAAAAGGTGGAGATGTGGAAAGCAAGAATTGACGAGGACACTGCTTGTACAGCATTACCAGGTACCTCCTGGGGAGGTACTTGAGGTGCTTCCAGCAGCGTGGTCTGGTTCATGGGTGGTTTAGGATTGCTTCCTACCCCTTGGCAATAGGAAGTGTGTTGGATTAGTGTAATAGTCTAATTCACCTTTCATTATCTAAGGTTGTGATAGGTCATGATATTTTGTAACGTGCAGAACGGGTAATGTAGATGTTGAGGCACTCGAGTGAATATAATAGACACACAGAGCTGCAGGGTTGTTCTGTTTGACTCCAGAGGTGGCTTTTGCTGGTTTTGGCGTTGTTCAGGGTCAGTTTATTTTTCCTTCATCTAATACAGAGAACAAAAAGATAGAGTGGCCTTATGCTGTAAAGGTTCTACCTTCAACATATGACAAGGCCTTATTAAGAGCAGATAGAAGAGGGGACTCTGTTTCCTTCAGAGCCTGGAAAAAGAATTTCAGATTGAATAATCCGTATGTTGTGGGGTGAAGGATTATGTCAGCTGAAGAGTTAATTTTGCTTGTTGTAACTCCCTTTCATACTTGAGAGATATAGATATATGTTTTTCTGTATAAATACATTTATTGTGAAACAAAAATTTCTTATGAATACTGATTTTAATTTTTATTTTCTTAAGTAATTTGTGGGCCTGTAGCAGGAAATATTCAAAACTAAAACTTAGGTAGCTCTTACAGGAGGCTGTACAGACAATAAAGATAAAATAAAATAATGTATTTTATATTAGAACTTTCTGTAAGGTTGTAAAGAAAATCTAAACATTTATTTGGAGTATTTGTTGCTGTATGAAGTAGTCTGTATAAGACGGTTATTAAGGCAAAATGGAAAAGACTGACTTGAAATATCCAAGCTTCTATTAAAGAAGGAGAAATCTGTGGTTTGGCTAATTCTGGTGTATAGTGTTTCCTGGTTTGAGGTTTGTTCCCCGACCAATTCCTGACCATTTCTGATGAAACCTGTACTTTTTCATCCTCTTGCACAGAAGCAACACCTGATGTGTTACTGGAAACCTCTGCTAATTTTTTTTTCTCTGTCAAAGTTCTTCAGCATAGTTTTGCTGACATACCTGTTGATTTGATTTTTCTTGAAAGTAATTTTGGTCCTGATCTTACACATTTAAGTAATTTATGTTTTCATGTAATAAATACCTATAAAAAACAAACCAACCAACCCCAAACTATGAAATATCCCCCCCACTTAGATGTTCACAGATTTTGCTTTTTTGAAGACTATTTTAATAACCATGTTAATCAATCTTGCTGAAAAGCTTTAGTGTTTGCTTAAATCAAAGTAACAGATGTCCCCAATGGCATTTCATAATTGGTGTCTCTGTTACGTTGGCAGAGATTTCAGTCAGGTGGGCAATGTTTCTGCTAAGTGCTCTTGCTTTATTTAGTACAAGTCAAAAATGAATAGTCTTTTCCAGGTGGTTTCTCTTTATCTTTCTGTCTCAAAAAAAATCCAAATTAACGAGACAAACTAAACTGAAAATTTATATATAAATTCATACATAAAAAGTTGTAAACTGAAAATTTTGACTAAAGCAGACTGAGATTTTGACAGCTGTGATTCAGTCTTCACTTTGATGTGAGAAAGTAAAACATGACTCAGCAGTGAAATTGTGATAGCAGAATTAATCTTGTCCCATATGGGGGTAATTAAAGTCTAGGTCAGATTCGTGTTTATTCATTCTCTAAAAACATTTTTCTCTTGCTGGAAAATGGTAGTGCTTACATCTAAATACTAGGCTAAGTAACTCTTAGAGAACTGCAGTCCTGATGCATTCAGCAGAATTGAAGACTGACTCCCTTTACGTTAGGAGCAGTAGAGGAGGGATTTTTCCACGACTTGCCTGATAATCTAACATTCAGCTTACGGATTTTGTACTCTCCCTAACCCCTGTTGTTGAACTTATGTTCAATTTTACGCTGAAGATCACAGAAGGTAAACTTGTAGAGTTTACGATATTGCTTTTTCTAGGAAGTCTGCTGATGTAATTAAACCACAGTTGAAGCCTCATGAGTAGGATAGTGCCTGTAGGATGTATCTGTTCTGGTTTCCTCTGGCTCAGAGTGGGAATGCTGTTCTCCTTCTGACCCCAGCTAATGAGATCTACTAATTCACAGTAGTTACCTGAATCTTCACAGGTCATATAGTACTTGAGCTCAGAGTCACTCAGCTGGGAAATCCTGTATTCCCATGCAAGCCACCAAATCTTGCCACCTTATTCTTCTCAAGCATCTACATTTTATATAGAAAATGGGATTGTTTCATCCCATTGTTGATATGTGATATGTGATATTGTTGATATATGCAGTTTTGGGGGGGATGTTTTGGGTTTTGTTTCTTTATTTTTTGGTGGTGGTGGTTTGATCCCTCAGTATTTCCTAGATGTCAATGTCCGACTTGAACAGTTAGATCCCATGAAGTGTCTTGGTTGGAGCACAACTGGGATCGTTAGTCTTGGAACACTGGGAGCGCTGGAGAAGGTGATGTTAATGTTACATGGCTAGAATAAAAAAGGCCTATCAAGTGTAGTTTTCCTTCAAATGTTTTGCCTTGTTTATATGTTACACTGTGGGTGTCACTTTATTTAAAAGGAAGTATTTCTTGAAGCACTTGGAAATATTTATTTGAAATATTTCTTAATGTGTATGAAGCTTGCTTTCTTAAATCATTCTTTTATTCTTTGGGGAATGGTGATTTCTTGGTAGGTAGTTATTTAAATGTTATTTGGGCAAGTACTGTGTTTCAGGCTGAGTATCTAGCAAACACCAATTATTTAATGATTGTGTGATGTATTTAAATAAAATGAAGAGCTGTGCAGAGAAGGCAGATTGCTAGCTACATAAAAATTAAAACTGTGGCTTTGAATAGGAATTATTATGCAAAATGAGTAACAAATGTCACAATTTCTGACCACTTAAGTTAAAATTTGGGTTTTTTTTAAGGTTTTTGGAGGTTAGAGTAGGACAGCACTTTTGAATTGATTAGCTGAATCCATTTAAAACATACTTAGTTTTCAGATCAACAAAGTTATTTTATGCTTACAGAATTTTTGCAGAAAGACACTGATCTTCTGTTTAAGCTTTTTCACCCTATATGACTACTGATACACTGTAATGCACCTCCATTTTTATCAGGTTTTTTTATAGCCCAGGCAAGCAAGAATATGTTTTATAGGATGGCAGTGTTATGTGCCCCAGCCCTTGAGGGCTTAACTGTACAGCCCTGCTCTTCAGGAACAGATGTGATTGTGTTTTGTGTTGTGTGTGGGATGGTTTTTATTTTACTTGTTTTGTATTTTCCTTGCAAGTGCATGAGTGGAAGTATGCCACTTAGATCAAGTAAAGCCCAAATGTTTGATTTTGAAACCAGGTTCCTATATTTTGGGGGGTGGGTACGAGGAGGGTTGTGTTACCCTGTTCAACATAATCAGGATGATGGCTGTTGTTGCTCTGTAAGTAGAGGGTTTCTTTCTGTTGTTGAGAAATTATGGAAGAAGAAATATCTTACTTAATCTCATCTCAGTGTGAAGAAACTGATTACATGAAGTCATTTTCCAAGTATTTTTAAATCTATGCTTCACCAGCACAAAAGAAGCAAACTAAAGGCACTAATCCTATATACAGAAAAAAATGTTTGCCTAATAGATACATCATGTGATGTTCTAATTTTTTTTTTTTTTCTTTAACAGGTATCTTTCGGATGAAGGAATTGAAGCTTGCATAAGTTCCTCTGAAAAAGTTAATACAAATGACATTATCCTAGTTGCCCTTAATGTAAGTTATGATTGTGAAAACTTTCCTCTGACAAACCATGCTAAAAAGGATATATCTAAAGACTCAAGTGTAGGTTTTGCGTGCCTAATTAAGTGTACCGTTATCTATGTGATTTACGTAAAGGACAGCATACCTATCTCTCTCCGTGCGTGTATGAGTTGTGAATTTCATTTGCAAGTAACACCTATTCCAAACTATGAAACCTGAAGGAGAAAAATGAACATAATTCGCTGTAGGAAAATATTTTTATGTTTACAAAATGTAAATCTAAAGTCAAAGTACAAGCAGTAATAAAATTAGAAGTGCTGTATACTGACATAGGTATGAAATCGTAGTACAAAGATATTAGTTTGTTGGGATGAATAAAACACCCTTACTTTGACTTCTGGAAATGATACTCCTTAAAGCATATTCAAAGAAATGGTGAATTTTTCTGTGACGTCTACATGTTTATGTAACTACAAAGTTCTCTGATTACTGTAGAAATCTGGATTAGTAGTCATTATTCCTGCCAACAAATAAATATAAAAATATACAAGATAGAGAAACAACTTGGAAGCAATAAACCTTAATACTTTTAAGGACTTGAGAAAAGTGTGCATGTGAATTCCTGTTTTTTCAGAATTCTAGTATATACATTGTTGATAAACATTAGTAAGTCTCTCCCTTTCAGTAACAATAAACAGAGGGCAGCTACTTAACCCATGTAGTTGTTACGGATTTTTAATTTATTCTTTCAAATCGTGAGGGAGAGTTTTGAGAATTGTACATTTTCTTTGTTCAAAACTTCTCAGGCACCCGTACTCAGAAGTTTTACAGTTTATATGCACTGTATATGGATTTATGTAAACTGCATCTTTTGTAATAACTATATGTAGTTCCAAGGGGAAAACAATGTAGTAGAGTGATTAAAAGTATTTTTTCTTAATAAAATTATGAATGAGAATTGATCAGGATCTTTGAGATTCAACCACTGTTGGTTTACGATGATACTCTGAAAAGTGTATCCCCTCTGCTCCTTTCATTTATTCTTTGAAGCATGTGTTCGATCACTCACATGTATGCACCAATTCATGTAATGAATTTGAAAAGAAGTAAAGCAAAATTATAATGCAAAAATGCAAAGAATGTAATACAAAACATGCAGAGGGTAAGCATTTGGTTTCTGGACTGTAGTAGCATGCCTGTATATATCTAAGAATGCATTACTGCTTTATAAAAAAACAAATAAAATACTTCCAAGTTGCTGGGCATTATCCTGCATGTAATTATATGCTGGAACAAATACTAACATGATCATTTGTGCGTGTATGTGTTGTACCTCCAGTGCATTTGATAGATAGTAAAAATAAAATAAACCAGAAATGTTATGCAAGTACTCCCAAAGCCAGTTTTAATTGCTTATCAATATTTTTTTTCATTAAGTCAGTTGTTTTGATGACCAGAAAATTAAGTTGCCTGTTGGGTAAGTAAGGAATAGTAGTGTGGCTTGAATGACAACGTAACGGTGAATTTAGATTCCACTTCTTACAGGTTCACAAATTCTTTCCTTGACTGCTAGAGACATGTTTCAGGTAGAAGAAACCAAGAAGTCAACTGACCTTTTTTGTGTGACTTCCTTAAATATGCATGAAACAGACATGAATGTTCCTTCAAATGGTTTTATTTTGTATAAGATCTTGCAAAGAGTTTGTAAAAGTTGTGTCCCCTTCCTGCGGCTGTGATTGCAAAGCACCTAGCTGGAGACTTGTCAATTATATGGGTATGGAACATGCACAAACAGTTTATAGGAAGGAGCCTGTGTGCTATTCAGAGATAAATACCTGACAGATGACAGATCAGTTCCCTCAGGTGGGCTCAGATTGAAAACTGAATGTGCTTTCTTATCGCTGTCTGTGGCTATCTTGTGCAACAGAAAGGGATTGAGCATTTATCCACTCTATAGATACTCAGAGTAAATACGCAAGAAGACCATCCCTACAATTAGTTTTCTATTTGTAGGGTACCAATGTTTCTCGCTGAAAAACAGAATAAATCACTTGTTTACAGCGTTTGAGATGGTAAAATATCGTGCTGAAACACGATCGTTCAGAACAATGGTCGTTTACAGCGTTTGAGATGGTAAAATATAGTGCTGCTCGGTTCAGAACAATGGTTCATTGGCATATATTAATGGCAAGTTAGCATATAAGTTCTAGTAGCAATTACATTTAGCCCTTCTTCATTTGGAAGTGTTTATGATCATATAAATAAGGAGGGTTTTCAGCTTCAGTACAGTAATCTGCACCAGCATGTTCTATTTTAAACAACAGGCTTATTTCAAGCAATGGAGTTTAGAAAATAGAAGTGTTTTAGGCTGCACTGCTGTACTTTTTTTTTTTTTCCTTAACACACATAAATGCACTAAAACCCTAATGTGTAAAGTTTACTTAGTTTTTATTCCATTTCCTGTTTTCACATGCTGAACCTTTTAGCCATCCAGTGCATCCTTTTGTCACACATCACCCTGATTGATATGCTTGTCCAAACAGTGTTAGGTGAAGGAAGTGCTTTTGTGGAGATTTGTTCCTTTGATCATATAAATTCTTTAGTTTAATGTTGTCAGTTGACATGTTGCACAGTTGGTGAATAATGTGATGCAGCTGTCTACCTCATTTCCAAAAGAAGTAATCAGACTTTTAAGTTAAAAAGCATTTAATAGAAATATGTTGTAAGCTTTTACTCCAGGTATAATTGCAAAAATCATCCCAACCTTTTATGAAGGATTTGTGCATCTAAAACTGCACAAACTAAAAGCGCTTTTCTCTAAGTGTCAGATGGAGAGCAAAGAAAGAAGATTACCTCTATTAAACCTCAGAGTTGTGTCTATATAATTAAACATTACTTAGTCGTTTCTTTTCCTCTATTAAAAGCATTTAATCATCTTTGAAAATGTGCTTAGGACAAGAATATAATTTAAAAAGCAAAAGGATGTCTTTTGTAAACTCTTTTTAAGTTGTTGAATTTTTTCATCACATGCAGTTGGAGAGATGGGTTTTTTATAGTCTATAAATAGTTGGCACTATAGAAGAGAAACCCTTCTTTTTCCATATTTTATGATGATAATTTTTGAAACGGGATGTTTTAGGTTAATATTCTCTTGTCTTCTGTATTAATTTCAGACAGATTTAAGAACGATTGGCAAGAAATTCCTCCCCAGTGATATCAATGGTGGAAAAGTGGAAAAGGTAGACGATATTTTTACTTCATTTTTTGTTCTGTGGTTTCGTGCAACAACAGCCTTCTATGCTTCATTACTGTGGTTTTGTCATTATTTCACATACAAAAGAACCCAATATTTGAGTGTATTATAGAATAAATATATAAATGTATTGGTTTGCCTGCTAGGCTTCATAAAGAGAGGACTCTTTTGTTTCTCAACTTTGAAATGTTTAAATAAATGTGAACAATGGTAGAAATTTTATTTATCACTTGAAAGTCATTTAACCTGTTTGATCTTGACATATTATCAGCACTGAATTTTTTCCCCTCCTTTCTTCTTGTGAGGGCAGCAAAGCAAGTTAGGAATAAATCAAGGCAGCTGTGTGATTGTGATACAGTGATACATGTTGCTGCTGTATTACTTGACTTAATGATATATGTGATAGCTACACACTTCATGTAATTTTCCTATGACTGGCTATCCTACAGGTTATGTGGATAAGCCATGTTAGATGGTATAATGCTTTATATGCTACAGAGATTTTTAACTTTTGGGGGTTGGACTAGATGATCTCCAGAGGTCCCTTCCAACCCTGACGATTCTGTGATTCTGTAACATATGTTGTAAGTTTAGATGAAAATTAAATTTGGCCCCTTCAGTACACCCTTCCTGTTTTCTTCCTTACGTACAGTTATGGGAGTGGATAAATGCAGGAATTTTATTTTAAACTTAGTAGTAGTTCTCAATTTGAATCACTATCCCTAACTTCCAAATAGTGACAATCACTGATGTGAAAGTTCTGGGGAAACATTTCATTACTGTTGAAATGCAAATAGTGATAAATCAAGGCACGTTTGTTTTAAGAAAGCAAGATTGACGAGAGAGGCTGTTAAGAGCCCTTCAGATTTGTTTTTTCTGCTGATGCTATTGTCT